TCAAAACCATCCACCAGTAATTATGTAGAATTTACAAGGAAGACAAAATAGCTTAACCACCTAACTTATCAACATTTCTCACAATTAATAGATAAAATTATATCTCAAACTGTTCGTTCAAATGAGTAATAAATTATAACAATCTCATGCGAAAATCACCAACCGGTTCACAACGTCCTCTAAAGTTTCGAAAAATTGCCGACCACGAGGTAAGTACAATAGCGTTGAGTAGAGATGCGCCAAAATTGCTCATAAATACAATGAGCATCCTGATTTTCGCATTTGCAGACACACATCGCTATCCTGTTCAAAATGGCAGCCGCATATGCGAAAAAAATAAATTATATTTATGTTAGATGCCCTCATAATACCTCTGGAGTTTTACTGTGAAAGTTGCTAGTGTCTGTGAACACTAACATCATTATAAACCCATATGCACCGATCCAAAGACTATCTACTCCCATCATGTCAATTATTGCTGTGATCATTGGCTCCTCTGTTTGCATCCCAAATTTTCCATTTAGTCCATTATTACCATTATTGTGGGATTTTGAGTTATGCTCGTCACACTCTCAATCTTTTGCGCCTCCATTATTTCTATGTACATCACCAAGCTGGGTATTCATTGCTCATGGAGTAAAACCGTGGAGTAAAACCATGTGCACTGCTTGGAGTTTTCTCTTGCTGCTGGGGATCATTGAACCTCTCAATATTCCTTGTTAATGTGTATTCCCTCTGTTGTCATCTGGTACCTCACTGTAGCCGCTCAATCTGCGTTGATCATCGCCAACGAAGACTATGGGATACCTTCTACCTCCGACAACCTTTACCTGTGGCATCTATACGCAAACTTGCTGGCGAATCTCTGGGATCACCGCCACTCACACCTGTTCTAACAAATGTACCCAAACGAGAATCATTAACAGTAAAATGCAATAATAAAATACAATACTACTCACAAAAACTGCACCTGTTCAGAACAAGAAACTAACTTTAAGCAATAAAAGTCAAATGCGCCACTGCTGTACTAAAAACAACAATTAACAGCTCTGTCTCGTCTTCACCAGTCACTGCCCTATCAACTGGCATTAAACTCTTTAAAGCGGGAGGGTCGCCACCTACGAACGCGCGGGAATTGTGTCCCAACACACGCTAAAAACGCAAAGGTTCATGGGTAGACGCTTGTTTGTAAACAATGACACGCTATGGCCATCTAACGCATGCGCAGGTGACGACTCCCCGCTTCAATTCAACACCAGGACGCACTTGACACTATATTTAAATCGTTGGTGCTGATTAGTCAGTATACAACGAATAGTACCACATCACAGGGAGAAGACACACACCGATGCTTCACTCACTCAGTTAAAAGTTTACAACAGACAATAATTACAATCAAATAGTTGTGCCTTCAGTAAGTATTTTGACCAAACTGAACTCAAACTAAGTAATTCACATCGACATTATTAATCTATTGCGAATAATACACCACTGAACTTGGTAATCCACCACGTACTAGAGTAATCTAAATAGGCAAAATTGGAATGGTTAAACTTACCACATACAGTGTATTACCCGGTCAGGGTCTCTCGATTTAAACATTTACAATCATGAGAAGAACAATAATAATAGTGAAAGAACACAGTGTAATAATAATAATCTTTATTATAAACGTATCCTTAATTGAGATATTGTTCGTGATACAATAAAGTTAAATGTTGTAAGTTAAAAATAGGAAAATATACAAAAAGCAAAAACGTTATTTTTATGAGGCAGCAGGTAATTTAGATTTAATGTAGTTTTCTCTCATTAATAAGCCTTGGTATACAAATTTGGCTAAATTAATTAACATGTTTTTGTCTTTCGTTTTAAGTATATTTACTAGTTTTTCTTCTTTGTTTTGATTGGTCGGTGTTGCAAAACATTTGTTTAGGCTGTCTTGTCTTAATGCATCATAGTGTGAACACGTTAGAAGGAAATATTTTTTATCCTCAATCTCTCCATTCTGGCAAATTTGACATTTTCTATCTTGTAAGGCGTGGTTTGTGTATCTGCCTTTTTTCAATTTGTAGAGTGTGTGCACTTATCCTTAATTTTGTCAATGCTGACCTATGAAATGGATTTTTGACTATTTCAAGATAACTTTCGAATTCAATTTTCTCTTTAATGCATCTGTAAGTGCGTAGTTTGTTTCTATGGTTGCCTCCCCTTTGTCATCGAATAGAGATTTATCACAGTGACTCTGAATGCCTGTTTTGTGTTCTCCTTGACTGTGGTAATAATTGTTATTAGTTTCAGGAGTGTGTTTTTTCCCAGATGTCACCCTTGTTTGCCAAATTTAAAGTTTGTTTGATGCTTGACACCCAGTTTGGTGTGCCAGTTTTGTCTAGTTCGATACCTAGCTTATATGCCTCATTTAGAAGAGTATATTCTGGCTTCTGTGATATTTTTATTCAATATTTTACCATCTGAATTGTACTAGTAACAATGAGAGGGTAGTGACCCAACTCCATCAAGCATGCTATGTTAGATGATTTGCAATTTACTTTTAAGAGAAATTTGCAAAATTTAATGCGAATTTTTTCTGCTGGGTTATTTTGTTTTGATTTAATAAGATCATCTTGTGCTTTATGGAGCTTGCCTGAACTACTAAATTTGACTTCAAGGTAGGAATAATTAGAAACATTTTCAAGTTCAACATTATTAACATGAAATTTATGCTTGGTGAGTTTTTTTCTGTTTTATTGAATATAATAACTTTGGTTTATGATATGTTGATGTCCAGTTGCCATTTTTCACAATATATATTTAAAGAGTTCAAAGCATTTTGAAGACCTGTGTTTGATTTAGATAACAGAAGTAGATCGTCTGCATAAAGTAGGCAGGGGAGATTATTATTTAGTAAAAAAGGAGAATCAGTGTTTGAATTTTCTAAATGTTCTTTAATGTCGTTGACAGATATATTAAATAGTAATGGACTTAGGCCATCACCTTATCGGATGCCTCTTTGGACAGGGAATACTTCTGTTAAGCCATTTTTTTTAATTTTATACAGCTTAATGAGCAGGTGTAGATTGATTGGATGATTTTGTGAAATGTGTATCTCTAGAAACGCATCAATATGCTTCGAACTGCACAAAACAGAGTGTTTATGCATAAATGAACAAATCAACGCCATGTTTAAACAATCTAATACGCATACAGCTGGCCCTACAGTGAGGAAACCAGTTCGTCACAGAAAATGTGCAAAATAGGAGAGTAGAGTCTATGTTGCTATTCTCAAAAAATGGAAGCACCCAAAATGTACTACTATCGAAAGCTGTGCTGAAATTCACACCAACGTTTTCGGCAATGAAATTGTAGACCCCCCCCCCCCCAATAGAGGTTATTGTCGCTCCAAAACACATATTACCGAGGAAAAAATAGACTCGCACCATCCATAATAATAATAACGAAAACAAAATAGCTTTACCGCCATCGTCAATTGTCATTGATTAATACACACTGCATTATATACATTATATGTCAAAACAGTACATTCAAATCAACGAGGCAAGTACAATTAGCGACGACACAACAATGTCGTCGGAAACGCCACCGCTCCCAGAGAATTACAGTCACTCCCGTAGATTTAGGCTCCTCGATCTGTACGTCTAAGTTCATTGGGTCTCTCTTTGCAAGGAATCGCCATCATCTTACCGATCAGTTCCCGAGTCGCATCAATCCGGTTATCGCCGGAACAGTTCAACGTTTCTAGTGTATAGTATAACATGGAATGACAACCATGCTTGATTGTACTTAGATCTATGTCCATTTTTAGGATACGACTTCAACAAAGACTATTATTACAACATAGCTAGTATTTATACAGCGAACACAGAACATATTCAACAAAGCATACATTTAATTGATTATTCGGGTCATCAGGGTGAATATATATATATATAGCGGTTTTAATAAAAGATTTGATTCATTATATGATACACAAAACAATAACATACAATAGAAAACAACACGTTGTCTACTGTCTGTGGGTGTGCCAAAATAGGTACATAATTGCTATGTTCACACGACAGCATTTTACCGGAGCCCTAAGCCAGCAGAAAATGGCTGTGTATACGCGTTCAGCTCGAGCCAAGTTCGGCTCCAATAAAACATCGTGGTTGAACTCCCATAGGGTTGAGCCCCGACATGGCTCCGCCCGTGTATACGCATCGGGCCCAAATCACGCCCTTACTCGTCTTCTCCAAGTAACCTCTTATTTCAATTATGGCGGAGACAGCATTTTTACCGGCTTCACGAAGAGGTACGCGCTCTAATATCTATTTGGCAGAGTAAGGAATTACTGCGATAGATTGATAGCTCAACGGGAAAATGGCGTACGAAATTATGCAACAAAAACTTGAAAGAACGACTGAACAGATCCAATGGAAATTGAAGAAACTTGTTAAAGACGCCAAAGATAAAAAATCGTTGAAGCGATCACGGTACGGTGACGCGTTCCTAGTAGGTTTAGACTCTTCCTAGTAGTTTAGATATCACAGTTGAATAATTACAAAATGGTAATTTTGCATGCCATAACTTAAGCGAATAGGCTGTGACACATTTTAGCTGCCATGTTTCCTGTTTATTCGAGATACTAGTACCTAAATCATAACACCGCGAGCGTTTTTTTTCTCAGCTCAACAGCATCGTGCCATGTAAAAAAACACAAGCACGACACCAATATAGTTTTCAGTTCTGTTTTATAACTGAATCGAACTCTAGCAGATCTCGGCTCTCGATCGGCTCCCGACCATGTGAACGCATTGGAGATAATCTCCTGTTAATCGGTGGGAGGAGCAGTAGTTTGGCTCGGTAGAATGCTGTCGTGTGAACATAGCAAATATTTTGGTGGTTTTAGTCGTGAAAATAACTCCCCTTTTCATAATGGTCGCGTCCTAGGATCGGCTACGAAAAAGTACACGTTTCATCACCTAATTTCATTTCCATAACGATTGCATTAGTTACAAGGATATCTACTGTTTCTAGCCAACAACATTTAAGGTAAGTGTTGAAGTAATCGTAATAAATATTTTTCAGTGCTCCATGAGGCTGATATGTCGGTGATTGTACGATTAATTTGAAGACAAACGAGAGGCACAGCGTGCGATTGAACATCAGTGGCTGTAAAGCCTTGAATGTTAGACGTAGGAGAAAAAAAACAAACAATTTTAATGGACCGTGTAAATAAAAAAAAAACACCCGAGAAACAAAGGAAGTTTCATGTTAAGTAGCCGAAAAAGAAATACAAGTTACATAGGCGTTTCGTCGACCTTGTTTCAAAAATAATGTCGTGCTACTCACTACAAAACGCACGACAAACTTTTCAGTCGCGCTATGTAGACATACTACTACTTAATTTGTTCACATTTGCTTAGATACTGACACGATCCATCACGACAGAGGCATCTAGCAACGAACGCGCTTTAACGTACCGAGTAAACGACAATGTCCTCAAAGAATGTCCGATTTCGAAACCGTTGCTACTGACAATAGACCATTTGTATAATGCTGACTTTAGTATTAAATAATTTTTACATCATAGTTTTTCTTCTTTTTAAATAGCATCTCTTTTATTCGTTTTCGATAACATTGTGTTCATATCCATGGTACGGGAGCCTTGATTCTCAATAATGAATACATCAACGATGTCATAAAATTAACTAATATTGATAATGCTGCAATATAAATCTTATTTAACATATAACTGCGTATACCTGCGTGAATTACTTTTTAATAAAAATGTAGAGGATTTGTTACATTTCCATCCAAACCCCAATGGCAGCCATGTTTGTGTTTATTATTAGAGGACGCTTACAAGCGTAATCATTCCATATTGTTCTATTCATAACTTGTGGCGTTAGGGTGACAGATGTATAATAATGCTATTCATATCTTGTGGCTTTGGGGTGACAGATGTATAATAATGCTCATTAATGCTCATTGGTTTCTAAAACATGTAAGGGAGCTAAACGGAATAGAAAAAATCAAACCCAAACCAAGAATATCTTGTACCTTAAAAATCATCTGAAAACACATATGCACACCAATTTTAGCCTGACCACCCTCGTATGGAAATGACGATCTATGTCATGTGGCATGTATGACAGAACGTGAAAGGACTGCAACAATTGAATCGTATACAAATTCACGAATACTCAGATTAAACACGTACTGTGACTTCAACCAACACATGGTGCACATATCGCATTGTACCTGCGACTTCTCCGTGACACCATGATTTTCACAATAGATATCATATTTTTTTACACTGAGGGGCCCGTATTCAGTTTAGGTGCGTTTTATTCGACTTTTCTTACGAAATCAATTTTTGTGGTTTCAAACAGTCGGAGGCCCCTGACCGAGCTTCATCAATCTATGAGTGAATGCGACTTGGGGGGAACCTTGATTAAGGTCCAAATGCGAGTCTGTTTTTACGCCTAGATGACGTAGTGATAGCATATATATGTAATCTTAAAACCTCTGATACTCTGAGATACCGAAAAGTATGCACGAAGACAGTCTGACCATCCGAGTGCATACTTTGCGGTATCTTCGTAATAATCTTGTACATCTTTATCACCCAGTGATACATCACGGGAATGCAGACATCCAAAAAGTTTTGATCAGAATCAGCGAACTTCTTTGTGTGGAGTCCGGTCAAGCCCTGGTGGCAGCCATGTTTGATTTTTTTTATTAGAGGTCGCTTACGTGCATAAGCATCCCATACTTGGAATTCGCATTTCCTAATATGGTAGGATGAAAATACCCTGTAAAATACCGCAAAAATCACGGCACGCTGTAAATTATGGCGTTACGGCGACAGATGCGTAATAATTACACTATCTACTAGCATGTTATTTTAGCTAATTTTACTAATTTAAGATGTTGCCAAATTTAAAAGAGTGCATACTCTCACAATGACATTAGGATTCCGCTAATTATTAATGTGAGTAAGACTTGCTAAAATGACACTTAGTTATAAATTGTTTTACAGCAGCAAATTGTACTACATGTATTTCTAATGCCAGAAATTTGCAAATAGGAAAAATTCAAGAACAGTCACGGTCAGCGTCTAAAACTGTCGCCTGGTGCAAAAATAATAACTAACATTTATGTTCTAAGCATGACTGAACCACAAATACAGAACGTTTCTGTTCTACATTTTGCATTCATACAACTATTTCGCAAGTGTGGATGAGAAGTGTATTATTACTGGTAGACAGATGTAGATATTTTTAAAACTTCTATATGAAATGGTTGCGCTATTCATAGAGACGATGCGACTAGAAAATAGCATTTATACATTTTTTGCATGATATCGCGACCTACCTCCGAAAAACATGCAAAAAAGAAAGTTATGACTATTTATTACATCATGGTTGATCACAATTACTACATAGATTTGAAACTAATAATGAAATCAATTGATTTTTATAGTAATATTGAAAAAAGAAATGTAAATATTCGATACTTCATTTGTGTCCGTTTTCATCTTCTTGGAAACTGACACGTCTTGATCTGAACAAGACGAGCTGGCACCATTTAAAATATTGCTGACCTTCTACTCCAAGTTCTGGGACGATTGTTTATAGCTAAGAACTCTTATTGAGAAAAAAAGGACAAAGTTAGTTCTTGTGCAAGACTGAGATGCTGCCCCCTCACTACACAACAATTCAATTGTTTTTTTATTCTATCCATGTCAGCATCAAAACCTCGTCAAAATAGAATCGTTGCCGAGACATTTGACCATTTCATTTTCTAAATACGAATGTAACTGGCGGTGCGTGAAAGTCTTGCAGAATATGATATTGTTTGTAATACAAGTGTATTTACCTTCAACTGAACGATGTCCTGCACGTTCCATAATGAGCTGTTCATCAATACCACTTTCATAGAGACCAGTAGCTGCTGTAGCTCATGAACTGGTTGGTAAACTTCCCATCTACACCCACTGCTTCAAATAACTCCAGCACAACCAGTTTCAATCAACGAGTTGTGGCCTAGTGGTTGTTTGCTGAACCAGATTGTGGACACTTTGTCTTTTCGGAGGGACTGCAAATAAAATCCCTCTTAATTTTCCTCTTCCGGGCACAGCGACACGTACTTCTTATAAATCCTAATGTGGCAGTGCACCAGATAAATAACGTTTGCGTAATGCTTCACTTCCTTACGACGAACTCTGCAATGTTTGAACCCACCTTGGTAAGTTTTAGAAACATCTTCTACATACTTTAAATACGCTTTGTTATTTGAGGATTGTTGAAACGCAATGAAAGATGTTCCATACCACTTCTCAAAACAAAGTTAGTAGTAGTACACGAGTCGAATTTTCCATAGGGCATCTATTTGCCCTCTCGAAATTGTTTCCGCTTGTTAATGTTAGTTCCCAGTCCTGTACGTGATATTAGTCTTTTTTCGGAATTTAACACTTGCCGGAAACCGTCAAATTCGACATTCGACAGTTAGGAAATTAATACGTTGCGTTCCGTTTACTTCCCTAACCTCTAAAATAAATTTAGTCAACCAATAAGCCACATCTTTTATATCCATTGCATTTAGACTTTGCAGGATTTTCACGTGTTCGTCAGAATTGAGTTCCATACGCGTGTTATTGCGGACCATGGCCCATTCGTTGAATGCACGAAGTGCCCACATGTTGCGTCGTTGTCTATTCATAGGAAGTGCATCTTTAGCAACTGCTCGTACTGTCAAATCGGTCACAGGGTCAGCAAAACGTGTACGTGGATGTCCCTGAAACAATATAAATAAATAACATGTCATTCAGTTCGTTATTATTGATTATAATCAATGAGCGCGATAACACCTTAGTAACATGCAACTCTTGCAAATCAACGTTCTCCAAGCCGAATTCATTCAGATACTCGGCAGCCCGGGTAGGCTCGATCAACGCGCCCTCACTGACGTCTGAAAATACAGGGTAACTCATTGTCCCAACAATGCCAAAAAGAGAGAACATGTTTCCTGGGCTCCCTATTTATACCCCTCCATAGCGTGTTTGGCAAATCACATCACTTTTAGAATTACCTGGGTTATATTTCAATCTGATTGGTTTAAATCAGAATTATTTGTCCCAGATGTATATATCGATTCTATGGAAATTGCGAACAATAGGGTGAAACCATTTGTTCTAACATCGACCTTAAATGAGAATACAATTGATTTGGGGTTATTTCATTATACAATAAGGGGTGTTTCCCTGCAACACATTGCTCGGTTTGTATGTTAGATATAGCACGACTACCTTCGGCGTCCGTCCATATTATGGCTATCGCTTCGGTAGTTGTGCTACATCTCACACGTAATGTACCTAAAACAATACCCTATCTGAGTCTATTGCTCAGATGACCCCCTCAACACTCACATTACATCTCTCCTTTTTTCCATAGCTCACCTAACAGGATGTTCATCACAAAGTATATATCAGTGCGACTTTTCATAGGTTTTATCATCGGATTTGGTACTGACAGATTATTCACAGAGTTGGTAACGTGATTAAATTGTATTGTCTTTTATAAATGCTTTACACTTAGATTTACACCTTTACAAGCACACGTAAGTTGTATTCTTAAACAGTGCTATAAAAGACTTACTGTATAATAAACGTAAACCGCTTGTTGGATCGTTCGGCAGTGTGAATGAGTGAATGAATGAATGAATGAACGAACGAATGATTAAGTGAGTGATTAAGTGAGTGAATGAGTGACAGACAGAAATAAAGAATGAACTAATCACTCTGTCCATTGATCGATAGATTGGTCATATGCCAGAGACGAGCTTTGTGATGAGACGAGTCAACGTGTCCCATAGTGCACCAGAACATCCGGGAATCAGAAAAGTGGCCACAGATAATGTTCCAAACAGTATAGAAACAGTTATGAGGAATGAGGAAAATGTTGTGCAAACTAAGAACCCAATCAGTTCAGATGATGAGAAGCAGACCATGAAAGATGCAAAGTCAGTGAACCCCACCAACAGAACTTTCCGTCCTGTCCCGTCACCTGAGAAAAATGGGAACAAAAATACTATTTCTCAAAACAACGAGTTGATGTTCCCATACGATAAATATACAAGGTTTGGTCTTGAATGGAAGGGCATTTTGGAGGAATACGAATACGTGTATAGTAATTTAAAAACAGAAGAAAAAAAAAGCAGTGTGCCATTCATTCTTGGTAAGGAGAACTTTTGGATGTCATCAACGGAAAAAAGTAGGTGAGTTGTCGTATTATACAGTTTTTTTTATAGATTGATGAAAACTGAGTGTAACATTTATCATACAGAAACATTTTAATAAATCCAACTTCTATGTGAATCATTGTGAGTATTATGAGAGCGAATGTTGAAACACTAGCAAGTATTTATGAAACAGAAAATAATATGATAAATTAAACACATTATTTGTGCACGTCGTGTCCTCGCCAGTATCCACACATAAGACAAAATACATATACGGATAATGTACTATATACTACATCGCACTTGACTATAAAACACATCAACAAAGTGTGAATAATTACTACAGTTCTATTTTGAAGTTGGACAATGTTTATTGATAACGAGATATATCTTTGTACTATGTCGTTGTTATTTGTTTATTCATTGTTTTGCAGGGCATACTTTTATGAAAACCAAAAACACTTCAAGAAGGGCGATCATATACACGTAGTCGTAGAAACATATGATAAATATGACAACAGACGAAACAAAGGTGGAGATATGTTCCAAGCTGTCATGTCAAATACACAGCTACAGAAAAGCACAGCAGGGAGAGTATATGACTATGGAAATGGTACATATTCTATCTATTTCTATGCTGCATGGTCTGGAGATGCAAAAATATCCGTGTACTTATTGTTCACAAGAGAGTTGATACTTTACTTCAACAGTGAACGACTAAAAGAACAGCGTGTACCCTGGACGGGTCATTATGGCGATGGTGTCAAAACTGAGACTACTGCATGTTCATTACTTCGTGAAGGAGTGTGGGCAGATAAATGTACTTACGGAAATGAAAATTCACTAGGCGGCACTGTTTTTATATGTGATAAACCGAAATCCTTCTCTTGTCAACAACTTGTGAACGCTACTTCCGGCATCGCGGTTCTTGTACAAGTCGCAGAACAGGAGAAACAAAATATTGCTTACTTATTCAAAGGGTAAGTTGTATACTATAGATATAATGTTGTATACTATAGATATAATGTTGTATACTATAGATATAATGTTGTATACTATAGATATAATGTTGTATACTATAGATATAATGTTGTATACTATAGATATAAATAATGCTTTTGTTTCGTTGATGTATTTTGAGATATATTCACGTGACAGTGTTTTTATGCAAGTTGCTTGTCAAGATCTAAGGATGAAAGGATGAAACGACTACATGGATATCTTCGATACGATGAGGAGGGTAATTATTTTTGCGAACACTTTGTATTAGATTGGAATTTGTAATAGTTAACATAATTTCACTGTATTTTAAGCTTAATTTGATATTATGGTCACACGTTGCAAACATAGTTTTCAACTAATTACCGCAGATTAGTAATTCTACAGTACAAAAGTATAAATCACAGAGCATCCTAGGTAATTGATAGTGTCTCTGGGATCGCAATAGAAACGCAATTACTTATTCGAGTATGTTGTTAGTTTCTTGTGTTTTTCATCCATACAGGAAGGAACAAACTCGACTTGCCTGTACACCACTGGCGATAAAGATAGCGGGTGCGTATAATTTGGTTTTGTTTTAATTATCGCTTTTCTATTTTTAATTTAAGTTCAAATAGTAAGACAATTGTGCATATTTCCCACCTATTAAATGGGCCATGTGTAGGTTTATCACCCAACGCACCTCTTCTTCCTATATAGTATTATTGTAATGCATCTTGGAAAATTGAATAATGTTGAAAAATATGTGTATGAAGTCTTTGAAAATTCCACAGCAGGAGAAAAGAAGAATTGTTAAGCTCCTCGCCAGAGATTTTTATATTGCTGACTCACTCGCATAGTTTTTATCACGTTTTATTTATATTTCATTATATTTACAACACTAGGAATTAATTAGTTTTTTTTTAATTTTTACATCTAGATTCATCATTCAAGTTACCATCTCTTCCACCATGTGGCCCAGACTTGCCGATTCCTATTTCCGATGGTTACTGGTCAGATAACAATACATATGTTTCATTAGTATGCAAAAGTCAACAGTGGACTCCTGTCCAGATTAGGAAATGTTTATCCAACGTGGCTATACGATTATGTGGTGACTCGACAATTGGTCAAATTCGACAACGACTTTCCTGGGTCCACAATCACACAGATATAATTACAGGCAATGGTTTCTTTTCAGTGGGGCCTAATCCAGTTTATTTTTGGAACTTTACCTTTGAGAGTGAATTCCTCGACAGCATTACTACGGAGAATTGTGCCTCTAAGAAATATGTGATAATGATGAACATAATGTTTCATTATGCATCTTGGTCACTTCGTTCCTACATCGACAGACTGTTTGTCACAAAGTTTGCGGTTCAAAGATTTTTGAAGCGATGTCCAACAGCAGTAGTTATATTTAAGTCTGCACATACTCGGGATAATGTCAATGCGATTCAGGTTTTACACAGTAGTAACTGGGCATTCTACGACATGGATCGTATGATAAGGAGTGTGTTTAGTGGCATAGGCGTACATTTCCTTGGAGTTTGGGATATGTGTCTATCGCATTTCTCTAAGCCCGATGTTCACATGGCCAAAAATGTAATTGAACAAGAAATACAGCTAATGTTTTCCTATATATGCCCCGAATTAGTAGAAGGGTAAATCCTATTTATATCTCAGGTACCTTAGCCATATGTCAACTCACCTGCTTTCACCTTAGACAGGTTCATTTCCCGGGCAGCCCATTTACCCTTTTGCCCCCCCGGTCCTTTGCATTATAGCCAGCTGCTTCTTAAATTTTAACAAAGTTATTTCTAATACTGTTTTTGTAATGTTATGGTAAAACTATATACTGGGTGAGATGTATACACTGGATGTATTGAATAGAATCAGAAACAATGCATAAAGCAATAGGTGTAACTAGGCGTTACAGGAGACATCATTTCACAATTCAGAATTCCTTGAATTCTTGTATTGTATATTTCAAACTCTACCCAGTAAATCACTAAGTCCTATCTAGAAAAAAACACGTCTAATTCATAGCAATAAAACTGTTATATTGTTTGTTTAAAAATTAGTGAAAGGGTGATTTGGTGTTGGGCTAAACCAATTTGTATCCGAGTTCTGTCAAGTTAATATCAATGATTTTTATTTCATCATATGTTATAAAATATAATTAAAAAAGTGTGTTTCAAAACATCCGCTTAACACGGTTGTCAACATTACACTGTTTGTAAGATGTAATAATAGTATTATAATAATAATATAATATTATTATGTGTACCCAATGTGTGTACTGACGATAGTCGTACAAGCCATTTTAAATTTCAACATCAAAATTGATCCAGTTCAAAGGGTTCTTCACCCTTGTTCATTTAACAACATTTGACTCTTAAAGCCGTTGTCGCCTGCGCACGCGCGTGATTCGAGTCCAAAGCGACGATAACAGCACACCCTAAAGACGCAAAGGCTCATGGGTAAACGCTTGTTTGTAAACAATGACACGATATGGTCATCTGACGCATGTGCAGGTGACGACTCCCCCGCTTTAACTGCAAATAAATCAAGTTGAGTTTGAATTGTACATTTTTCAAAAAACAAGTTAAAAACAAAACTAATATTCTGTGGCGGACCGTACGGCACTCTCATTGCAGCACGGCCCTCGCTATCCCGTAAAGTATGGCGGGTGGAGCGTGAAAACAAATGGTTCGCTGAAGGATAACATTTTCCGGTGCCTATTGTAAATACAGAATTCAGAAGTAGGTACTGTGTCAAAGGTCAAGTAAAAAACCAAGATCAAAATTAATTAACATGTTCATACCTCATGTTGAGTATAAATAAAACTGAGATCACATACAAATCTCAACAAATTACAAAAATATTACATCATACATTACCTCAAGCACTCCATATACCAATAGATCTAGGCTCAACAGTGATGGATTGAATAACTAATGAAAATAAAAAGATTAGAATGGCATCGCTTACCTATTGTAAATACAGAATTCAGAAGTAGTTGCTGTGTCAAAGGTCAAGTGGAAAAAGTCTCTAGCCATGATCTTGACACAGAGGGCGACATATATTGTTGTCACTGATCAAATGCTTTATGAAAACAGTATTATACCCAGCTTTTATTAACATTATAACAAGATTCAATTTAACAAAATACAACAATTTAAAGAATGCAAGTAATACCCGGCCAAATAACTCAAAACACCCCTTGTTCAAGAAATGATGCCCTCATCATTTAGTTCAAAATGGCCGTCAATACAGTCACTTGATCACATTCATGTCCCATCTGTCTGTTAACGTGTGATTGAGTTTGTGCATGTACTGTTTTGTATGGTATATGTGTGTGTGGGGGGGGGGGGTGCGTGTGCGTGTGTGGGTGCGTGTGTGTGTGTAGATGAGTGTGCGTGGAGTTGCATTGTTAGCTTGTTAGTGCATCTAATAACTTCCGTCTCATTTCTGGCTAGACTCCTCAATTTTGGATTTCCTTCGCATCCAGTCACACAAGAGTGTCATGCAGTAATACATCAATCTATCAGGTGGCTGTCTTGATCGGGCTGGGTAACGTCGATTCAGGTGTAACATCTGGCCTTGTATTTCTATCTTGTTGAGTATCAGGGTTATCACTGTCTTCCAATGGTACAATTCCATCCACCAGATGATCAAGGCTAATAGAAGTTTCCATCTGTGTAACACTTTGACTAATAGTTCCTATATGAGTGTTTGGACTAGCAGTTAGTGATGTATCTGTGCTTGATTGAGCTATAGGGGTTTGCTGAATTTCAGTATTGCTTGGTCTCATTACTGGGGGTGGGCTGACTAGAGTTTTAGCAGTAGGAGTAATATTGGATTCAGGACTGGACTGATGTTGTGATGCTGTATCGGAGTCAACTACAGGTGATTCAGATGTGGTGATATTGCTTGGTGTAGGTTTGGGAGGTGTATCAGAGGGAGATGTAACAGGGTGAACAGTAGGTGTCGTTTCTATTGATATATTGTCACATATCTCTTCAGAATATGTATTGTCTGTATGTGCATTGGGAATTGACTTGTGCGTTTGTGACTGTTGTGAAGATATTGCATTTGGGTAAGTATTTATATGGATTTCAGGCATTAATGATACATCTAAGCTATCACAGTCACTGTTGTTTTCACTTGAATTACTTTCTTCGTTTTCTGTCTGCTCTGTTCATTTTTCCCATGTAGGTTGTTGTGACGCATTTTGTGTAATTTGATATTTATAGACGTGTGTATTTTTTGTATGCCAATAGACGCTCACGAGAGGGCGTTAATAATGATCGAATTTACTCGAGCTTAAGGAGTCTTTGTCCACTATAAATGTAGGTCACAGGTCAATTTCAATTAGTCGTCTATTATCACCGAGTCTGGACACATGGCTAATCATCAACACCTTGCCTCGTGGAGGCATGCAGTTGCTTTGTTCTCAAAGCCAGATTGTTTCATGTCAAGCCGAATTGAAGACAATGTACAGTTTCACTATGTCATTCCATGGACGTTTGTAAGAACTGCATCCTCTCTCTCTCTCAGCAAGATTTACAAGAACTCACTGCCGTCCAGCAATCACGTCGCAATTGTTCAAGCCAAAGCCAGCCAAAGATTAGGCCACGTGTTGTTTGCGTGGAAAAGATTGACTTTTGAAACTAGGTATTTAGTGTCCATATCGTTTTACGACTCCAGGCGATTGTAAATGTATTTTCCTTGCGTTGTCTAATTTTGTGTGTCTACCACACTGTTATTGTATTATGATGAATGTGTGAATTTATTGTTCATTTGAATTAATGTCTTTTGATACCTCGTGAGCGCACTATATTTATTCACACGAATACAATAATAGAATTTGACAATATCCTGTGTTTGTGTCGTTTCTTGTTGCAAACCCCTTGTTTGGGTTTGGGTCAACGGAAAGATTCCAGTCTGTCCGTCATCCGACTTTAGACCCAAACTCGGCCGTAACAGTTGTACATTAGTGTTAGTCAGGAACAAGCATGGTTTCAACATATTTCTGTGTAGGGTTCTCTGTCTTCCATCATCTTCAGCTTGGATAACATAGACAGGAATATCTGGTTTCTTGGCAAGAACAACATATGGAACACTTTCCCACTTATTGGCCAACTTATGTCTATCTGGCACAGGTCTTTTGTCTACAACAAGAACTCTGTCTTCTATGTTAAGTATGTCTTCTTTGGCTTTCTTGTCATAGTTGTGTTTCTGTTTCTCCCTTGAAGCATCATCTTTCGTGGTTGCTCTTTCATAAGCAAACTTCAGTCTATCTCAAAGTATTGCTATGTATTCCGGGTAATTTAATTCAGTCTCCTCCTGTTCAACTCCAAAGGCAAGATCTAAAGGTAGTCGGAGATGACGAATAAACTTTAAATAGAAAGGGGAGGTACCAGTGGACTCGTGTCTGGTACAGTTGTAGGCATGTGTCATCACACTTACATATTCACTCCAATTAGCTTTTTGTGCAGGGTCAAGGGTTCCAAGCATATCCAATAGGGTGTGGTTAAACCTCTCGGTCATTCCATTTCCCTGGGGATGATAGCTGGTGGTACCAGCAAGTCTGCATAGTTCTTTAACAAACTTGCTCTCGAAATTCCTGCCTTGATCAGCATGGATTCGTTCAGGAAACCCATAATTACGAATAAAGTTTTTCCACAGCACCTCAGCAACTGTGTTTTCCTTCTGGTCTTTGGTTGGATAAGCTTGTGCATAACGAGTGAAATGGTCTGTTAACACTAATATGTCTTCAAAACCACCCTTAGATCTCTCAAGTGAGAGATAATCAATACAAATCAATTCTAAAGGTCTGGTTCGAATGTTCACCAATGGCACACGAGTACTGGTTGATGGGGACTTTCTTAAGATGCATCTATCACAGGTTTCACACTACGACTTTATAATACACTGCATTCTCGGCCAGTAAAAGCGTTTTCTTGCCAGATCTAGGGTCCTATCGAATCCAAGATGCCCATTTTTATTATGAAGTGCATGTAACGCTTGCTTCATCAACTCGTTTGGAAGACCTAATTGCCAGATAGTCTCCATTTTGTCATCATGAATGCACCCATACAGTAGACTATTCTTCAATTGCAATCGATCCCACTGCTTCAACAGCAGATTTGTATCTTTGGATTCTAGACCACACACTCTTCTACTGTCTTCTTCCTCTATTCAAATACTTCAGTACTTGATTAATATTGTTGTCTTCTCGTTGAAGCACTTGCCTTTCCTTCACGGCTAGGGATGGTAATGCACACCATCCTTTCTCTGCATTCAGGTCACCAGTTCTGTCAGTAGGAACAGTAATTTCTGTCTCGCCGATGATCATGTCTATATTCTGATTTCTTCCTTTTATGACACCACTAACTACCCTGAGAGTATCTTCAACTTTTCTTTGTGGCATTCTTGAGAGAGCATCTGCATTACCATTGCACTTACCAGCTCGGTACTTCACCCGAAAAATTAAAGGCTGACAACGCTGACACCCATCGGTGTCCTGTAGCATCTAGCTTAGAGGAGGACATCAAATACTTGAGTGGGTTATTGTCAGTAAGAACAGTAAACTTGTTTCCATACAGATAGTCTTTGAACTTCTCCGTAGTTGCCCATTTGAGACAAAGGAATTCAAGTTT